GTTCTCTTTGGGGTCCTTTTTATAAGGGTGCCGCGCTAGATTGGGGACCCAAAAAGGGACCCCTAACTTAGAGAACTGCCCGTGTACTAGCTGCACCCTCCTGACCATGGAGACAGGTCTGCATGCCCACGGCAGCATGGCTCGAAACTGCGCAGCACGTGGGGGCCTGGGCTTACTCCTTCGAAGCTTTGCGATTCGCGATTCGGCTGTGGAACACGACACTTGGCAGCTGAAGCACAATGCCGCAGAGGTGGCAACCCAAGCAATGACTTCGCTGGAGAGTTCAGTGCATACAATTGTCCAGTAAACAACCGCTTGTACACTCCAGATTGAAACCCGTGAGTCTTGAACATGCAACACCCTTCCACTGGGTTGGGACATGGTGCCGTGTAAATTTAAACTGAATAAATCGGCCGATTTCATCTAAGCTTCTGATTTTCGAGCTCCAGGACCTGCAACTTCGCAGAGAGTCCTTGGCTGTGAAGCGAAGACAGCTGGGGCTCAGAACAGTGCTCTTCAACAGGAGCACCAAATCTAAACATCGAGCTCCAACACCCGAGCCTAGGATATCAGAAAAGGCCTGCATACCAGAGGACGGTACAGCACTCGGTAGAATCCATGGGAGCATGCGGGTAACGTCGGAAAAGGCACGGTGCAGCTCATCCGTCAGCTCCAACAGCAGGTTCTCCCAGCGGTTCGCCATGCAATTGGATCCGCAGGAGGCGGTCCTGTAAATTCCTAACTTGTCTAGGCTTTCTGGAATAAAAATCTCTTCTCTGGGTCTCGTTGTGAGGCGGGGAGAGGCTCGATGCGGGGTCTGTGTGAACAAACTCAACCATCTTAATGCCAGGCAAAGTAAAGTCCGCTTCTACCCCAGATCTTGGGACTCTGTAGCCTCAAGCGCGTCCCAGCTGTTTAAGCAACTTACCGGCATCTTCTCACAGCATGTTCATGGTGTGGGGCGGCGTGGCGTGGGCCCAGCCAGCTGACTTGAGCCGAAGCAATGTTGCCGGTTTAGGGTTTAGGGTTTAGGGGTTTAGGGTTTAGGGTTTAGGGTCCGTGGACAAACTACAAGGACCCTAGACAAGGCACCCCTGCTTTTCAGCAGTCCAGCACATGAGTATCTCAATATGTAAGCATGTATGTGTGCATGCATGTGTGTCTATTAATGTGACGGAATGGAATGGAATTTAATGTAGTAGCGTAATGTGTGTGTGTGTATGCATATATACATATGTATATACACACATATTTGTGTTTATATACATAAGCATATACATATACATATATATATATATATATACACATATGCATGCATATATGCATGCGTTCATCCATCCATCCATCCATCCANNATATATATATATATATTAAGTACATACACACATCTACGTCTGTGTAATTAGGTTTAGGCTAGGCTAGAGTGAATACATGAAACATTAGATTAGAACAGACTATCACGATGACTATGCAAACATGGCTATGCAGAAAGATTTCCGCTTCTTCTGGAAACTCCTCATTTGCAGTATACTCATCGGAAGACCTGCAAAGAGACGCCCAGCCCCGACGCTAAACCCCCGTAAATGTTGAACAGTCGGCTGTCCAGCGCCATGCCGAGAAGCTAAAACCAGCTTCTTCTTCTGCTTCTCAGCCATTCGAACTGCCGACTCGCACTCCTATGCGTCTCTCTCCGCCGCAGCTGCAATACACCGTCGTTAAAAGACACATCAAGCGCATAGAGCTAAGCTGTACTCCTGCCAAACGAGATGTCACAACTTACCCATGCCCCCCGCACCTCAACCCCCCCCCCCCC